CTCATTTCCTGCTCTTCAGCTTGGGGGTGAAAGAGCACCAAGTCAGTTATGACTATTGCATACATCTAGAAACCCGCAGCCAGATCCCTCTCCGAGGTCAGTAAGAGATGATAGTTAACGCCACCACTAACTCTGCACGTCCACCCTGGGATCTCACACTTGAGCAGGTTCTTCCTGCCCCTGCTTAAGAAACAGCTGCAGGTCAGAGTCCCCTCTCAATTATTCAAATCGAGCAGGCGCTACAGAGATCCCCAAGGACAGCAGAGCTATTGCTGCCTGCTATTTTGCTGGCAATGCACAAACCAGAATAAAACCCAGTTACTTGTCCCAAGTCCTAGCAGACTCAGAGGTTAATTGCACAAAGCTAGGTCAAAACAGAGCACCACTACAGCCAACAGCTCATCTTGAGATGCAGTAGGGGATATCTGCTGATAAAAGCGGAGGAAGAAATGAGGCGGGGGGGGGACATTATCAAACATTTTAACTGCTGCACATTAGGTACAGTTAAAACCACTACAAAGTTGCTCTGACTCAAGTGGGTTGTTTTGTCCTAACGCAATCTGCAACATCAGTTTGTTTCACTTTCACAAAAAGTTTCCAGTTAAGCATTAGAAAGAAGCCCTTACAATTAATCATTTTGATTGTTCCCAATGGAAGAGAGGCTCAGGCAGTCAAGGTGCCTATCAGTAAGGTGCCTTCCTTCCTTTGCCCAGCAAGTTTTGGGTATGTTTTACAACTTGTCTGAGGGGCAGAGGTCTCCCCAGATTGTGCTTCCCCATAATACTCCATGGGAGAGGCAATTAGAGTAACAGATACTCAAATCAGCGTGTTAAAATAGAGGAGCCAGGTCTCAACTACACCACCACATAAACAGAAGAGATAAGCAAGCCTGGCTTTTTAAATTCAACTGCTCATAGAACTACTAATTTTCCTTTAAATTAAACATTCAGTGCAGAGAGCTAGTCTTTGGTACAAACTTTCCTCCTCTCTGAAGTAAATCTGCAATTCAACAAGGCAATATTTGCACGGAGAGGTCATATACTGCAGTAGACCAACGACACAGTTGGAAAGGAGAAGACCGTCTTTTGGGCTTACACATCCAAAGCACATCTCTGCTGCGATAGGGCACATTACGGTTGCCTGACATTGCCTCAGACTGCACCAAAGGTTTCCTAGCTCTCTACAGTTGCACACTGAAAACCATTTTTGTGTCTCCATCATCTCTTTTCATGGTTTAAAATCTGACACACTTCAAGTACGACATGAGAACACCAGCTCATTATAAATATTTTAAAGTCTAAATAGCAAATGCCAGTGGTCAGACTCAGCAGGAGAAGCCCTCTTAGATTTGAATACTTCAATCCAACACCAGAGAAATCCTGAATTCGAGATTAATAATGAATTTAACATCAAGGTCCACTTTTTTCTTTCCCCTCCAGCTTACAAGCTTCTTTATTATTAGGGAAAAAATTGCAACAAATTTTCCCCTAAATAAACGGACATTTCAGTAGTACAACATATATTGTAAGACTTATGTTTCTGTAGCCATAAATGCCAGGCAATCAGACCTCATTTTCTCCATAAACCTGCCCCTCAAATCAAACAGTGTACAGTGGTCACTTCTCTTCCCTGGCTACTGCCACCTCAGGGAATCACAAGACATGAAGGTGCCGCTATTCCACTAGAAACCCTTGGGTTTGACTCACTTTGCACATTTGAATTGGTCCACTGCACTCAGGCTTGCCCTGGTCCCTGAGCACACATAAGTCACTGCAGTAAGCACCAGTAAATGAAAGTTTAACATCTGCATGACGCAGAGTTCAAAAGGCAAATGAACTCGGAGGGAAGGGGATTACAAGCAGCTAAGAAACATGGTTTAGGGTATACAACCTCTTTAAGTACAGCATTTTACTAATCCATGGAAAAGGACAGCTTTGGAGACCAATTAAAACAGTTGCTGGAGCAAGCTGAGGCACCCTGTTTTAAGGATACTCTCAGACTCTTTCCTAGTCCCTGATGTGGCAGGCAATGCGTGACCTGCTGTCCCCAGCACATTGACCAGTACATCTATGCAGAAGACCTGAAAACCCAGAAGAAACACAGTGCCCTCCGCATCCCCACTACCCCACAGGGCACTGTTAGGGATTGCCAAAGCAATGAAGGTCCAATAACACACATGGATGTGAAGGCACTTCCATGGCTGAAAAGGGTATGTTTTAATAAGAAGGTAAGATCTAGTATTCTTGGTACCCTTTTACTGCCTTTTACCCTACTTAATCTCCCTTACAGGGACCATTCTGTTCGCAGGCCCTTCGAGCATCCAGCCCAGCAACACTACACAAAGAGCAAGGAAGCTTCCTGCCTAGCTCAGCACATCTGCAGGAGGATCTCTGTAGTGCTACAGGGAAACTGCGGACAAATCAAAGCAGAATATCCAAAAGAGATGCCTGAAGCCAGAGGAGCTGCACTTCAAGGGCACAAGTCTCTGAAGTTTATTTTGAGCGTACAGGCACTGCCCATGAGAGCAGCAGTCCTGCAGAGCACGACTACAACAGACACAGAAAAAAACCCAGCTGTGGGTCAGGAGCACATGGGATGCTTTCTAAGGAAGCTTCACACACAGCGAAATACCACTGAACAGCAGTAAGAAGTTTCAGTCCTGTCCATTAACAGTTGAGGTTCAGTAAGAATACGACCCTGACTACTCTAGAGACTTAGTCCTGGCAGCCCTCCAGGTGAGGAAACTGCAGCATTGCCAAAGTGCTTTTGAATGGCTAGAGCTAGAGAAGCCCTCCCTGCTTCTATCCCACCATGCACAACTGCTTTGAGCTGTTCCTGAGCTCTATGTGTCCATAGTAGAGAGAGCTGCCGGGTTCTCAGCAACGATGGACCAAAATACTTAAGTGGTTGGAGCCGGATTCTACAGCAGTTCTACACCAGCAGAACTATCCGTTCTTATGGAGGAGCTCTCAGTTTACACGAGCACAAGCAAGAAGTGAGAATAGGGAGGGGACATCAAATGCTTAAGAGGAAGTGAAGGTTATAGGCCACGTTCAGCCTCACTGAGGAACAAATGCATCCAAGCTCCAGAGAGAACGATGGGGACTGCAAGGGAGGAAAAGCTTTACACACAAGCACATAGGGAATACATATGGGTGAAATATGGGCTCTTGCAAACAAAACACAAACCACAGAGCTCCCCAAAGCAGATCTTGCTAGAAAGCAGATATTATCTTTTTGATACTCACCCTCATTAGACAGCAAGCAATAAAACCTATTAGTGAAAAATTCATCTCCCCTGCCCCTTGCCCTGGCCCTCCCCCACCACATGCCCTCCTGCTCTGATCCTCTCTCTCTTCTAGGATGGCTGTGATTTGTTCTGAGAAGCGACAGGTTTATAGGTTAGCCGACACCTTCTCTCTGTGGAATTTTAATTAACTTCTCCCATCGTCAATATGTTAAGGAGCAGGGTTCCCATTATACGAGGTCAGCAGCGTGTTTCAGGCCCTGCTATATCAGCCGTCAAATTGAAGAATTAATGACGTGGCTAATTGGCTTTAATTCTCCACACCCCCCTCCCCAAAATATGGAGGGGTAAGGCAGGGGCAGTATGGTGGGCTAGTGGAGGAGGCTGGTACAGTCCAGAGTCTCATAAAAAAATGAGAGTGCACAATTTAAGCCCACTTGTTCATGGAGTAGCTGTTCCACCACCTCCCATTTATCACCCTGCAGGGAGGAAAGAGGTGGTGAGGAGACAGTGGGTAAATATTGTGACAGAGAGCGTGCACAAGCGTACACAACAGGGAGAAGAACACTGTCCTGACAAGAGGCCACCTCAGTAGGTCATCACTTAGGAGTAGGAAGCAGCATGCCACTGGGCTCTAACCAGCCATGGTGCAAGAGACAGAGCCTATCTGCTAGAAAAGGGGCCCTCACAGCATGGAAGACAGCAAAAGGCTTCTATCTAACATCTTGCAGCAGCATTAACACACATGGTGCTTCTTCAAAAACACTATCTGTCTCAAACACTCGGAGCAACGGGATGAGAGAATGGCAAAATTATAGCAGGCCTCAAGGGTCATTTCCCTGATAATGCCGTTAGCTCCATACCACTAAGTTTCTGCCCGCAAAACATGCCTGGAAATCTAATGGGGACAGCAGTTGTGGGAAGTATTTTGCTTTTGCACAAGCCTAAAATTCACTGGTTGCAGACATCATACGGGCAGCAACAATAGCTGTTCTTCCCTCCCTTGAGGAAGAATCTCTCTTGCAAGCAGAAGACAAGCTTAACAGTGAACCAAAGAGACAGATCGCTGCTGGCCAGTGTAAGATTTTAACAGCAAGAGTTTAAGTTTCTCAGATTTGCACTTTCTCAAGAATGGGAGCACTTTGAAAAACACCCTGGAAGACACTGGTGTAGGTACTGCCCTTGCCCCCCATGCTGAAGTTGTAGCATGATGCCCACACCAGAGGCACAGGGTTACAAGCATGAGAGGCTGGAAAACCTCATCCCTGAACTCCACTTCCATCTTTCCCAGTTCAGTATGCTCTATGCTCCAAGGAAAACGAGCTCTAACCACTGAACACAGCCTCCAGCAGGGACCTTTTTGCTTGGCATCTCTTCTGCCAAAGAATGAGAATAAGAGTTGGCATCTTTTCAACACAGAAAGCCTCAAGGGGATCCAGCTCTTTGCTTCTAATTAGCGAGTCAGAGTTTACTCTGCAAGTAAGAAGGAACAGGTCCCATCTGAGACAGTAACAGGAACACAGGGCCACTTTCACAGCCTCTTTATGAGGGGATCACTCTGCTGTTATGGGGAACACAGATCACACACTCTTCCTTGAAATTCTGTTGCAGGCACAAGCACATGATCAGCCTCTGCCCAAATCAAGTCCCTGAAGCATCACACTGGTGCCTCGGAAAGATTTCTGGATGCACAGCCTGTCCAACTCCTTTACTTCTCTTTGTTGGAAATTGGTAATAAAGAGATCTCAGTTACCTTAACAATGGGCTGATAGCAATGGACCACACTCGATCCTCTGTCTGCAGTGTATGTAGACACTGTCCAACTCTGCCCGCGGACAGGGACCAAACCTAAAGAGAGAGATGCATGTTATGCCACATCACCCAGGAAGTGCAGAAGGTAGGGTGCACGCTGTCAATGTTGTGCTGGAAGAGCTGTCAAAACTGCCATGTTCACCTTCCCTAAGTTCCTCTCCCTGAATTGCCATTACCTATTTTTGAGGAGCAGAGCCTTCAATCACTGGCAGAAACAAGCACTTAAAGTTACACAGAGATCCAGCTCATGTGTGTCACCTTCCATCCCACTGGTAATGGAGAGAGCTCCCCCATCACCACATGCTCTCTAGGGCAGCACTCAACACAGAGACTTTTCATCTTCTGTAGTTAAATAAACAAGAAGTGGGATTTGTTCAAATCTCTGCTGTTCTCATGGAGAGACTTCATACCATCCCTGAAAAACTTCCACTCATTATCTATAAAATTAACTGTTTGCTACCCTGTAAAATATTTTTTTTATAAACCCACCCCCTTTCGACCAAGTTTCTTCAGTGTACCCCAGGGTATTTGCAAATACGCCCCCCTTGCTCACTTACAGTGTGAGAGAATCTCTTCCCTCCCCCATCAGTGCAATACATGCACATCACCTTCCACCAGTTCACCACACACATCCCTTTGTTTCTGAGTCCTAACAGAGTCCCCCGGATTCTTGTTGGGCCTCTGCTTGTGACCCTCATTTTCCCTACTTTGCCCTCTTTCTTGGCCCACAGGACTCGAGCCTCTCAGTTCTCTTTAACAGACCCCCAATGTTTCATTTCAAGACTTCAAAGCTGGGAGTGCCCTATTTGTTTGTTTGTTGATAATGCCCAGGATTGCAGGCTATTCTTGTCAGCGGGGAATTTAGCACCTAGTGTCAGCAAAAGCAGCAGAAAAGCTTAACTCTTTTAAGGCATCCCTATCTCCTACAGGTTAAAAATATTGGTCAGAGCACACTATCTGGTGCCTATCACACAGGAATGTACATTAGCAGCTCTTCAGGGCTTAGTCCTAATCAACAGTCAGCAGAGCCCTCAATAGCTTAGACACTTAGAGCCCCTTTAAAAGGCTGGTAGGGATTCCCTTCCACCCTCCAAGAGTCTCATTCGTGCAAACAAGGCAGCCTACAAAATAGATGATAAAAAATAAGAAGTGAACATCCCTGGAGTCTACACTGTGGGGAGCGCTGGGTGGACAAGATCTCACACTAGCTCCCAAAAAAATAGCCTTAAAATTCCCCACTGGCCTTCAGGAATTTGTTCTCAAGGTCGGGTAGGTGTGTCCTCCAGCTGCCAGAGAAGCAGCAAGAAGGCACTCTCCCAGCAAAGAGGCTCCACCAAACAGAGAAGAGCAGTGCTGCTTAAATGTGAGACACAGCAGCATCAAGGCCTTGCTCCTAGAAGGCAAGCAGCATCCCCAATGGTGCCCTTTGCATCTGAACACTGCTCTACCTGGGAGTGATTTTTACCCAGGAGTACATCCACACAGGGGACCAGAATAGATAGGGTCATGCTGCTCAGAAGCCTGTCAGATAGTTACCCATTACCACACACTTCCTATAAGACCTTGAAAGAGGCATTTAAGCCTTTCTTTGCCCCAACTTCCATTCTTGCAAAACAGGAATAGCAGTTTTTCCTCTTACCTTCCTTAATGCTCTATGATACATATCAGGGACCAAGAGTATCCATCAGCGTACCCTGAGCAACAGTCAAAGCTTTCAACATACAGAAACTACTTCCAACAATGAAATAAGTGGTTATGAAGATGCTAAAGGTACTGCATCATGCTAGCGGGACAAGGGTGAAACACTTAAGTGGAGTTTCCTGAACTACTAAACCAGAACTGGTTAAAGTTCAGCAGAACTTTCCTCCAGTTCCACATAGGAACAGAGCACTGCCAACCAGAGCCAGAAGGACAAAAATCAACAAAGTCCTGCTTGAAATAGTCAAGAATTATGTGACAGGATTCAGTGATGCCAACTGGAAAAAAAAAAGGGAGCTAACAGCATTCATAGTCTAACCTCACTCCTGGTTTGCAAACCAAGAACCATAAAATAAAACAAAACCAACACACACAAAAAATCCACCACAAAAATATCACAAATCACAAATAAATATACCACAAACCCACAGATTTGGAAAAGACATCATGCTAAACCTTAAAGAGATCAAATATACAACAGAGAACATGTGAAGCAGCACTGCATCAGAAAGCAAGGATGTGCTCAAGATAAACCGGCAAAGTTCAGACCAACTGGCATGGAGTGTTAGACAGATGTACAGTGCAAGAAGCAAAACATCAGCTGCTGCTTTCTGCACTTCCTAGTTTAAGTCAGCAGTTGATGTCGTAAAGCGCTGCCAAATCTCTTTCTTAAAAGCCTGGCACAGGAAGCGTCTTTTCAGAGACACGAGCCTACGCCAAGATACGCAGTGCTCCTTCTGCAGACACACAAGACGAGGCTCACAACAGTTCTGCTGACACTTGAACATTCACAGCACAAGACCTCCGAGGTCACCTCTGCAGCAGCACCTGCAGGAACATCACTGCTCACCTTCGCTGTTCTGTCCCGGGAGCCGCTGACAATGAGGCCACCTTGGAAGTCCACGCAGTTCACCTCCTGTTCGTGTGCAGAAAACTTGACGCTGTAGGAGCCATGGATCTTGTGAAGGACAATATTTCCATCTCTGAAAAACAAATCCCCAGGCAGGCAGTCTGTATCCGCTGCATCTCTCTTGAACATGCACCTTCCATTAGTGCTTAGGAGTACCACAAAAAGACCAGGACTGGTCTCTCATGGGAGCTGAAATTTACGCAGCATTATTAATCCTGCACTCCTCACACATCACCTGTTCTCTTGCAATCCCACATCTGGCCAGTCAAAGCCTGATCTGCTGCTCATGAAAATTTTCCTGGCTATCTTTCCACCTTCCACTTTGCGTTAAGCTGCAGAAACTAGCAGAGCAGCCATTCCTCCTCCTACTGCTTTGAGTTTGCCAGAATCCTGGCTGGATGCTGAATGGCTGGAGTAGGGGAATAAGCGAGAGGTCATTTTCACTCATGTCCAAGCCTCAGCTTTTCATTCATTTCAGAGCAGCTGTGCAGCGTACTGTGCTTTGAATTAACTACAAAGACATTTAAACTTTTTTCAACCAATACAGTTACTGGAATTTTAAATGCATTCCTTCATTTTCACCTGTGTTTTGGGCTACAGTTCACAGGGGAGAGTCTCAAGATAACCAGGGCAGACAGCCATGCTTGCATTTCCCAATTCTGTGTTTAAGTGCTGTGTATACTAATAGCTAAAACTTTATAAATAACAGTTCTGTCATTTGCTGTAATTGAAAAAGGTCAGACAAATGCAAAATTAATTGGAGAAGCGTGTGAGTGCTGGAATGCTTGGCAGTTTTCCCCTCTCTCCACAATTGTATCAGTAGGTCTGGAGACAAGGATATGTTTATTAGAAAGCTGTACACACCACTGCAGTGCCAGCAGTTCTGAACATTGGAACAGAGTCTGGCTGCCCTGACTCTAACAGGGAAAGGAGTGAAAATTGCACATCAGTCAGGATTGCCTGATCAATTGATCCTGATTCAAAAATCCTGTGGACACCTAAACAAGTTCAAAAGACAAAATGACACTTTATGAGGTCAAGAGCATGAGACTCAGCTCTTCCACTGCTGTAGTAGAAGCATTTTCAGGACAGAACCAAATCATAAAGAGAAGGAGCAGCAGCAGTTGAACACAGGCAAGCATGAGGACACTGTGTGGCAAGATTGACCCCTCTGCTCTTGGCTGAAGTTAGACAAAACCTTTCCAGCTTCACTGCCACACTCCTTGGGCTTCTTTATTCACCCAACTTACCCCCCTCCACTGACGATGTGGGAGTTGACAAGAACAAAGCGACATACGTCCTCCTGGTGGCCAGAGAAGATAGCCTGAGGGTGACGCTGCAAACCTGTACCGTCTGGACAGAGCCGGTGGGCCTGGATGTTCTCCGCTTGAGACAGGTAAAGATACTCGCCACCCAGCTCCAACCAGGGCATCAAACTGCAAACAGAGAGCAGGTTGTGGGGGGTGCAGGGGCGCCGAGAAGAAAACAAAACAAAACAACCTCACACACAAAAAGATCGCCTATGTAAACATATCAACAAAAGCAAAGGCCCCCTCAGGAGAACTGTGAAGTTGGAGCTGCTGGTCACATGCAAAGGCAGGGCTTAATATAGTAGCACAGCTAAGAAGTGAGTCTTCTCCAGCAACACACAAAGCAGATCACATTGCTGGCATTTTTCTGACCAAGAGCTGAGGAAAATGAAGCATGGAATCTCTGAAAGAGAAGATGGCCAGGAATCCAGTGAGTTTAGATAGGAAATACTTAAGGCTCCCTGACCTCTCTTCATGAGCCCTGTACTTTTTAAGAAACTAGACCATCAGGCATTTGCAAGCTATGCCAAGCATTTCTAACAGAGCCTTCACTGAGGCGCTCAGTGCAAACAGTCAGTCTTGATCCTGCCCATTATTTGCTGATGCCCAACAGAGACCACAAAGCTGCTGCTGTTTCACATATCAGGTCACATCAAATAACACAGGTCTTCCTACAGACACAGTCTTCTACCTCCTGCATTCTCTGTATGCTAATACATAAAGCAGCAGGGTAAGCCTGTGGCTACCCAAGAACTTCATGCTCATCATGTAGAGGAAGTTATTTTTCTACATTCACATCTCTTCCACTG